CCCAAATGATATGATACCAATGAGAGAAGTCCAAGTCAGCTGCCATATCATTTAGGCTCTAAATTTAATCCCAAAATTTAGTCAGTCTAGCATTACGGTTTATAAAAATGATTCTATAACCCACTAAAAATCTTAAGCATTAAATGCACCCAACATTAAAGACCAAAGATTTCTTTTTTCACACTATTAAAGGCGAAGGGATAGGAGTTGAACCAAGTGCCGATACGTGTATTGTAGATATAAATTGAGTTTTTTTTAAATATATTTTTAAAAGTCATTCAAGTTTACGTCGACTATTCTCTCAAACTCTAAATCAATTATCGTAACTCAAATTAATTTAAAGACATGTCTCTTGAAGAACAAGGGTGACTTGCCCTTAGAAAGTGTGGGAATTATTGAACCTGAGACATTTTACTTGTTAGAAGACAGACTTGACCACTGAACCATCTTAATGGTCCGTTTGATACGAAAGACGGAAAGTTGAAAAAAAAGAAAAGTGGAAGGGATAAAGTTTTCATCTTTTACGGAAAGAAAGTTATTTTTCTGTTCTTTTTTGTTTGATAGGAAGGATGAAAAGTAAAAAGGATATATTTTTATCGTTTAGTTTTAAATGAAAAATGAAAGGAAAGAAAAAATATGCAAGCTCAATTTACAATTTTACCCTTATATTAATTTTTAAATAATTAATAACAAAGGATAACAAAATAAAATAATCCTTAAAAAGTCAAATTGTCTTACCTTCCTCTCATTTTCCTCCCATTTTGGGGGGAAAAGCATATTGTGGGCGGGAGAGAAAAGTTCTCCCTACAATTTTCCTTTCCATCATTTTTTCCTTTGATATCAAACAGCGGAAAGCCTTTTCATCCACCTCATTTTCCATCCATCCAACCAAATCCAGTGTAAGAGTTGATCTAAATAGAGTTATCACTCCAACAAATAGGCCTATTAATGGATCGAATTATGTTTGATTGATGTAATTTCAAATTTAATTTTAAAAGTCTAATCCAAATTTGATTATCAGAATAATGTTATGTTCATAGTTCAGGGCCCAACCAAGGAATTCATTGGAAAGTTATTAAATAGCTACCTACTTTGAGGAATTGTAGATGTGAGAATTCTGAATGGCTGTTCTTCAATTTGGCAAGTGACTAACCATACCTCTTTTGTTCGCTTGCCGCCACAAGTCCTTTTGCTACGTTTTGATTCCTCTTCTACACGTCAAGAATAAAAAACATATGATTTGGTTCACGTTGAATAAGAGGTGTAAAATCCATACCCCTCATGTTTAACTTATTTATTTGCATATTTGAATAATCAATGCTCATGATTAACAAATGGTCATGTATATCAAAAGAAAAATACTAGTTAGGTCTAATGCAAGGATCTAATTTAAATCAATCATTTAATTGATAATGAATTCTATCTGATTTAATAATTGTGTTGAATTAAAATATCTAATTAGATGCGTGATAGTACCAGATATATGAGCAATTACACATAAAAAGATTGTAAACGTCTTCTAACTCATCAAGTAATGCAAATTTTAAGGACAAGAGACTCTATTAGAATCGATTAATTAATTTTTCAGCTAGTGAACCATTAACCTCTCGTGCTTATTAATTCTTATGATTAATTTACTTGTTCAAATTCTTTGTTGCCGATAATCGGTATATTTATTTCATTGAAGAGCTCTTCAACCTATCTCTCTCAACCACCGAGTGGTTTAATAGGGTATCAATCGAACTTCTTATCCTGATGGTTGAAAGTTCAAATCTTGGAACCTATATTAGAGTTCGGTGATTGACCGCTATGTTATCCTAACTAAATTTGTTTCTAAGAGGAATAACAGGCGCAATCAAGAATCTCATAATCGTACTAGTGAGAACCTATTGAAATGATCTCCGAACACTCTTTTTTACTTCCACTCTTTTTTTAACCATTAAAAAAAAATCTCCCTCTCTCATATTTCAAAATTACCACCACCAACACTATTTAAATTAAATCCTTATAGCAATTCTCATCCCAAAAATTTAGATTGTCTTAATTGGCCAGTGAATTTGAACAAGGTGGTTCCCTCTCTTCACCGGTCCCCGACCGAAAAAGAGCCATAGTGCATGGTGACCAGAAAAGCTCGCAAAGTACATCACGCCCAACCTGGCTGAGAGCTGGAGGCACAGTGCGTAGGGTGCACGGCCTTTCACTGCCTACTCTCTGCTCTCTCTTGTCACTCTCATCTGATCTCAGTGCAATTATTAATTAATATGCTGGCTGGACCACTTTCGGTGGACCAATAAATCAGTCTTGTCGATATCTGATTTGATACAAACCGACACAAAATTAAATATATTTGAGTGAATAAATGGATTATATTCAGATTAAATTGATGTAATAATAATTATTCTAATTTAATTTTAAATACTTCTTGTGTACTTTATTCTTGATTGAATTGTTAATTTGATTTTTTTTTTTTATATGATTTCATTTTTATAGTTTTAAGTATTTTTATGATGTGGGTTGATATCACTAAAATGTCATATTTTTGTGTAATTAGTTTATTAATTAGTTAGGAAGAATAATCAATTGAAATGTACACAATAATATTTTATGACAAATAGGTCAGCAATGATGACAACAAAACGATTCATTTATTAAATAAGTTAAACGAATTTTGTCATATAAGTTGATTATTAAATTAATCATATTCGATTTCGTGATTTTCACTAGTTTAAATGAATTATGTAAAAAAAATTAAATAATTTTTGATACAAAACCGTTTAATGCAAGACAATTGATAAGCCGAATATAAACAGTTTCTTCTTTCAGCTATCAAGGAAAAAGTTTCATCATTACTTTTCCATAGAGTTCAACGTCTAGTCTTTATTCAACAACAACATATTCCATAGAGTTCGTTCTTCAAACTTGTGGCAAATAGGTCGATCTTACTTCTTCCAATTAACTTTGACATAGATCGTACTTGTTTTATCTTATAACTAGTAATAACCATGTGTCTCAAGAAATTTTATTATATTAAAAATTGAATATTGGTCGTATAATATCTTAAATTTATTTATTTTTAATGTAATCATGTAATTTAAAATTAAATTAACAATAATACAATAAGAAAGAGATAGAAGAGAGAGATTAGAGGTATAAGTGTGAATTGTTAGGCTGTTTGGCATTAAAAATGAATTTTATATCATTAAATCAAAATAGATAAAAATTAAATTACTCTTAATCGTTGTTGTGATTTCATAAATTGAGAATTTAACTTTCTAATACTAATATTACATAGGTTTTTGAATGACATAAATTTTGAATTGAGGGTATATAAATTTTTTATGAGTACTCTAATATATATATATATATATATATATATTTGTTTTGGCCTATCATCCACTAGGTTCAATTATAAATGAGTCTCTTACTAAAATAGATGGTAGATGATCCATCAAAAAATAATTAAAAAATATGTATATTAGAGTAGTCTCAAGTAAAATTTGACTTATCTCGTTTTTCAAATCGATAAAAAATATATCATCTACGTCGAAATAAAAATATTTGTATTTAACCCTTTTGTCTAAGTATTTGTCGACCAACAAAGCACCAAGAGGTAGGTGTCGATCGGCAGTCAAGCAATAAGGGCTAGTCGATTGGTAGCTAGCTACACGGGTCTCACTACCCCTCCCCCCAAAAGAAAAAAAAAAGCTACAATGGTCTCGTGACCTTGCCACTGTGTCTCCTAGTCGAGTCATACTCGCCTAAGGATCAACCTAACACAAAGTCCTACTTAAATGCGTGGTTTCTTTTTTTTGGCTAAGCAAGTGCTAACCGACAAGGTCCCAAGGATTGGTTGCCGATCTATGGTCACCAATAAGGAGATACCTCGCAGACGCTCCTCTTACTTGTCCATCTCGGTTAAATGAATCCTACACGATTATGGTTTAACCTATGATTTAGAGTCCTAATTAAATGTTATTCCGAATAATCATGAGCTAAAAAAGACATAGTTTAACTGGACTCAGAATATCTAGGAACTAATGATTAGATCAATTCTATCACCACCTAAAATTTAAGTTCATTTAAAACACCGTTTTTTATCATTATAAATAATGACTTTCAAATGTCACGTAATTCATTCAATCTTAAAATATTTATTACATAATTTATTCGACTCGATTTCTAACTTAAACGTCAGAGTAACTTCAGTTCGAAGTCTGTGGTCGCTGTTACTTTAACTAAATAGCGTCATCCACATGTCAAGTAAATTGTGGGTCCAATCTAATTATGGGTATGACTTTCCCCATGCAATGCCAGTCATTCAATCAATTTAGAGCGCGTAAATCGATAAGATTCGTTTTTGGCTTCAGTTACTTTTGCAACCTGAAATCGGCTCGGGTCGGATCCCACTAATGTAGCTGAATAAATAAATGTTTTTTTATGCGATGCAGTGGGTTTTTTTTGGAGCGAATCAGTGTCGGTCGGCTATTGGGTTCTCTGCTTCCCCGCTGTCTATAAATTGTCTCCTTGTAATAGCTGTTTGGAGGTAGACTTGTTATTGGTAGTGTTCTTTTAGGCTCTACCTCTACCTGGTTTCGTGCTCCTTAGAGCTCCAAATCTCGAAAAACGCATCTGGGTTTGATCCAAGTCCTTGGTTTCTAGCTTCTTAGTGCTCCAAATATCAAAAAACTCAACTGGGTTTGCTTCCAATTCTATCAATTGAAGATCATAATTGGCCTCTTATTGTCTCTCTCTCTCGCTTTCCATTTTCAGGTACTACACAAACATTTATATCCCTTTCGTATACCTGCTTTTTCTAGCTAGGAAAACTCAACGAAGATTCAATCAAGTCTATAAATTATTACAGTGATGGGTTGGTTTTCCATGGATTTACATCCCTCCATTACTCTTTTTCTTTAATTTCTCTTAATACGAGTGACATATGTGAGTGACATGGGGAAGATTTTGAATTTCAATGAATAGGATATTTTCTCTTTTTATTTTGTTGTTGGTAGAATATTAATTATTATTAAAAAAATTTCTTACAAACAAAAATCTTATTTATCCAAATTCAGAATTTTATACACATCACTCATCTACCGCCGTATTAAACACTATGTTGAAGGGAATCGAGGATAATGGAGGGATCCAAATCCTTTTTCCATTGTTTCTGTCATATTTATATAAAACACTTATGTGTGTGTGTCAGTTGAATAGCATAAAGAAATTGAACCAATCATGGGTTTTGAGAACTTGTAACTTGTAAGAGGTACTATCCCAGTGGAGCAAATTGATGGAGAGGGTTGATATTGGTATAAATGTATAATGTTAATAGCTATTTATTTCCTTTTTTTTCTTCAAAAAAAAAAATGACTTGGTTATTCTCTATTATCTGCTTAATTTTCTCTTCTATTTTCTTCATTTTCCCATGTATTTTTTGATACTGTAATTAATGAATTTTATTGGCAATGTGTAGAATGTTCCATGCAAGATCTGCTCAATTGTTATACCTACTAGTTAGTGTACTGATCTTGCTGAAAACAGAAGGCTTCAATGTCGGAATAACTTACGTTACGAATGCCGTGGCAAAAGGAGCAGGTGAAAATTTGACGACAAACTAATTGAATTATCTTTCTTGTTTTGGCTGCTTTTTTTTTTTTTTTTTTTTTTTTGGGCTTTGAGCAATATTTTTCTATGTTCATTTGAAAAATATTTAGAAACAGAATTCACGTAGCCGATCCTAAATTATTTGGATAATAGATTTGTTGAGTTTGTAATTTTGGTATGATGCAGTTTGTTTGGATGGGAGTCCACCAGCATACCATTTTGATAAGGGATTTGGAGCAGGAACTAACAACTGGTTGGTTCACATTGAGGTTGGTCTGTTCCGTTGTGCGCCATCTAAAAACATTTATTTCACTGAATATGCAATCCTTTTAATTGCTCTGATATTAACAAACACAAAATAAAAATGCAAACAAACGTCATGTAATGCATTTGATTTCTAAAAGGAATGAGTAGAAGACGCTGCATCGATTAATTGGCATGAAATGAAAGGAAATAGGAATGAGAATATTGAAGTCTGGGACTTGGAGAATTACTTCATTAAGAATGCTTGGATGATCTGCTTAGTAGACTTAAGAATTTGGTTATATAACATTAGACAGATCAATGAATTTATCTCTTTATGTGTATAAACAATTTTTGTTTTGCATCTTTAGGGAGGAGGATGGTGCAACAATGTCACCACTTGCCTTGCCCGTAAAAATACCCGCTTAGGTTCTTCTAAGAAAATGGTAACACAACTTTCTTTCTCAGGGCTCCTGAGCAACAAACCACAGTTTAATCCAGGTAGAGGCTCTCAATATCTTGCTTGAACTTTGGTATTCTCTTAATATAGCTCGATAAATCATACTGTATTTGAATTTCCAGATTTTTATAATTGGAATAGGATCAAGGTGAGGTATTGTGATGGAGCATCATTTACTGGTGATGTGGAAGCTGTTGATCGAGTAAGTGATCTTAATCAGATTGGAATTATAGCCAAGTAACTACATTTCATGTCGGTCAAATCGTCTAAAACTTTACCGTTTTGCAGTTATGTTTTGAGGTGTTTTAGTATGTTTCAATTCGATTTGGAATGTTTTGATTGATGTTCTACAAAGAGTTCTTTGTTTCTATCCTATTTCGAAAATGTTTCTAAAATATTTTCATTTCCAAGCTCACAGAAACTACATAAACTACATAATGAAACGAAATTTTGATCTTTGATTATAGCTCAGTTTGAAAGAGATGCCTCTGCTTATCTTCTGTTTGATTCAGAAACCAAAATATTTAGACTAAGTTTAATGGGGAGTACAGTAGTCCAGTGCCAATTTAGGAATTTCCATGTTTTCGTGGCTTCTAATAAGGTAGCAATGTTTGTCAGGCTACAAATCTTCACTACAGAGGAGCAAGGATTTTCCTTGCTGTTATAGAGGATCTATTAGCAAAGGGAATGAAGAACGCGGAAAATGTATGATCGATTGAAGACTTATTCCTCCCCACCCCTTCTACTGGCACATACACGTGCATTGTCCTTGTTCTTAATAACCCCTAAAATCTTGTTATGACAGGCAATTCTCTCTGGATGTTCAGCTGGTGGGTTGACTTCAATATTGCATTGTGATAGCTTCCGAGCTCTTGTACCCATGGGTACCAAAGTAAAATGCTTTTCGGACGCAGGATATTTTATCAATGCGTAAGCTTTCATACAGGACCTTGTACCCCAGTCGTATCCTTAAAACTATGCAAGCTGTTTTAAATTTTTTTTCCAAGTGTAGCTGATCAGTTTGATGCTCAATAACAGGAAGGATGTTTCAGGTGCACTGCATATTGAAGGCGTCTATAATGAAGTGGTTATGACACACGTACTCTCTCTCTCTCTCTAGCTCAAGATGTTTTCTTCTTTGTTTTCCTTTTTCTCCAAATAAAATAAGAAAAGACTATGTATACTGAATTAAGATGCACTTCTTGATTCCAAGTTTTCCTTTGAATTGGCTCCAGGGATCAGCAAAGAATTTACCGGCATCGTGCACTTCAAAAATGAGACCAAGTTTGGTAAGAGCAGTTTTTCTTTTTTTTAAGTATTCTTATAATTTTCCATATATTTAGAATCATACCAATACATTTCAGTGATACTGCAGTGCTTTTTCCCACAAAACGTAGCACAAGGAATCCAGACACCTCTTTTTATGGTAAATGCGGCCTATGATTCATGGCAGGTTAGATCATTTCTAGTTATGAATGACAAAGGCTGGGATTAATAGCGTTTCCATCTTTTATATTTGCATAACTCTCTTCTTCCTGTTATATTTTCTCTTTCTGGATTTTGGAATACTTTCCTCATCATTGTTATCTGTTGATTAATTTCAGAAATCTGTAAATTTAAACCATATTCTTTTTAAGTTTATATTCACATAAGACCCAACACTTTGTTTACTGAAATGAATTTGGAAGTAGGATATGGAAGCAATTCAACCAGGTCTCTATCATTTCATCCTTAAATCAATAAGCTGACATTTTGGAGTAATGCCTTGCAAACACCAATTCTTTTCTTCAACAAAA